AACCAAAGATGTAAAAGAACTATTTAATGAGAACTATAAAAAGTTAAAGAAAGAAATTGCAGAAGACACTAGGAAATGGAAAGACCTCCCATGCTCCTGGATAGGCCGACTTAATATAGTAAAGATGGTGATACTTCCAAAACTAATATACAAATTCAATGCAATTCCTATTAAAATCCCAATGACGTACATCACTGAAATACAGAAAACAGTCCAAAAATTTATATGGAACAACAAAAGACCTAGAATAGCCAAAACAATTCTAGGGGATAAAGACAATATGGGAGGGCTATCCATGCCGAACTTCAAACTCTACTACAGAGCTATAATCACAAAGACAGCATGGTACTGGCACAAAAACAGACCCGAAGACCAATGGAACAGAATAGAAGATCCAGATATAAATCCACAGGCCTACAGCCAGCTGATATTCGACAAAGGAGCCAAAGACATACAATGGAAGAAACACAGCCTCTTCAACCGCTGGTGCTGGGAAAACTGGGCAGCCACATGCAGAAAACTAAAAGTGGACCCCAGCCTATCACCATGCACCAACATCAACTCAAAATGGATTAAAGACCTTAACATTAAACCTGAATCTCTGAAACTACTGCAGGACAGAGTAGGAGAGACACTTGAACTAATAGGCACAGGAAGGAACTTCCTGAACAGAGTCCCAGGGTCACAACAAGTTGGAGAGAGACTCGACAAATGGGACTACCTTAAAATAAAAAGCTTCTGCACAGCTAAATCTATCGCAACTAAGCTAGAAAGACAACCAACTAATTGGGAAAAAATATTTACCAGCAATATATCAGACAAGGGGTTAACATCCTGTATATACAGGGAACTCAAGAAACTAATCCCTCCCAAACCTAACAAACCAATTACTAAATGGGCAAGGGAACTAAAGAGGGACTTCTCAAATGAAGAAATAAAAATGGCAAAGAAACACATGAGGAAATGTTCATCATCCCTGGTGGTGAAGGAAATGCAAATAAAGACAACCCTGAGATACCACCTTACCCCAGTCAGAATGTCCCACATCCACAAATCAGCCAACGACAAATGCTGGAGGGGATGTGGAGAAAGAGGAACCCTATTACACTGCTGGTGGGAATGTACACTTATACAACCACTTTGGAAAGCAGTCTGGAGGGTCCTTAGAAAGCTAAAGATTGACCTCCCTTACGACCCAGTCATACCACTTCTAGGCATCTACCCTGAACAACAGGAACCAATATACAAGGACACGTGCACCTCCATGTTTATTGCAGCACTGTTCGCAATAGCTAGGATATGGAAACAACCTAGGTGCCCCACCACAGATGAATGGATCCAAAAATTGTGGTATCTATACACAATGGAATATTATGCAGCCATTAGAAATGACAAAATAATGGCATTTGCAGGGAAATGGATGGAGCTAGAAGGAATCATGTTGAGCGAGGTAAGCCAAGAACGAAGAGACAAACGGTACATGGTCTCCCTCATAAGTGGATGCTAAATCCAAAAGGTTAGGTGATACGACAAAACTAACAGGACTTAAGAAACAAAGAACTCCCGCTCATCTGGTTGAACCACTACTAAATATCCTCATGCTGCTGATCACAAATATGGTACATAACATGTGAACACTGTTATATATTACAGACTGTGGTAGACAATTTGCTCCAGGGAAGTTAGAATGAACTTGTGACTTTGAAATTATGTAATCATTTAATCACAATCAAAAAAAAAAAAAAAAAAAAAAAAAAAGAACCTCGGGGAAGGGAGGGAGGGAGGGGATGGTAGGGGGAAAACAATGGAGGGGGTAACAATGTTCAAGAGGAAGTGTACTCATAACCTCACTCATGTAACTGTAACCCTCTGTATAGTAGCTTTACAATAAAAAAAAAAAAAAAAAAGGAAAAAAAAAAAAAAAAGAAAGTGGTGTTTAACTGTGCAACAGTTTCTTTCCCACAGAGGAATGCCACAACTGTTATTAAGAACAGCTGCAGACCAGTAGCTGTGGAGGGTCTCTAGTTTTTAATCTGTAACTTTGTATTCACTTTCTTAAAGGGTTTCTCTTCTCAGAATTATATATATTTTAAGTCCTATAAACCCTGCCATTAGCCCCTATCTCAGATAAAATGTGATTAATATCAATGTTAAATTTAAGTCAAACACTTATTGAGCCTTATTTTGAATTAAGAAACGTCTAAGGGGCTGGGAAGGTGGCTCAGTGGTAGAGCGCTTGCCTTGCATGCATGAGGCCCTGGGTTCGATTCCTCAGCACCACATAAGCAAAAAGAAAAAAGCCGGAAGTGGCGCTGTGGCTCAAGTGGTAGAGCACTAGCCTTGAGCTGAAGAGCTGAGGGAGAGCTGAGGGACAGTGCCCAGGCCCCACGACCGGACCAAAAAAAAAAAAAAAGAAACGTCTAAGTTCGTATGGATAAAGGATTTTCTAAAGAAGAGAAATCCCTCCCAACACAGTGGGCCAAGATAAAGAAAATAGTCTATTAAATGGTGACAGGTGGGTAGTAGGGGGAGGCCTCAAGAATGTCCCAAAACACATGACAACACAGCCATGAGTCCCGAGTGGTACCACTGCCAGGAAGACCGCACCAAGTCCTTTGATTACACTGGCTCACACCTCTGGGCAGTTGTACTACACACGACCCAAGGAACTTAGCTTCAGAAAGGTGTACAACTTTGTAGCTTCACAGCTCAGCATGTGGCTTCAATCCAGAGAAAGGTTTTTAATCCAGAAAGTAAGACAGTTAAATAAGCAGCCAGGAACACCTGTCTGTCCACTGTGGTCCCAGGGAACAGAAAGAAGGGGCCACTGCTAGTCTGACCTATAGCGGCTCCCTCTGCATCATGTGGCTGGGCCTCACAGGAGGATGAGACTCGGTGGACAAACAGGAAAGGCTGAGTGTGGCTGGGCCTGAGACCCCTGAGGAAATAGAGGAGGTGGCCTGGATCTGAGCTGTGTGGGATCCAGGGGGCCAACCTGATGGGATCACAAACTTAAGCAGGTTTGGGAGTTGGGATATAATCTGACCAAACCAATTATTTGGAAAAGCAATCAGGAGGGTGGGCTTGGGCAGGGAGACGGAACAAAGCAACATTTATCCTTGTATTCTACCGTACTATAATATCTTCTTTTTCTCCCCGTTTACCCAGGGCTTCATGCATGCTAGGCAAGCACTCTACCACTAAGCCATCTTCCCAGCCCTCTATAATATCTTCTGGTTTTTTAATTTTAAAATGCAATCAACTAAAATGTCAGTTTAGAGGAAAATAATCCCATGATTCTAAAATGGTATCACTACTACCACTCCAACTTCCTTTCTGTCCCTGACCATGTCCTCACATACTTTTTCCAACACTGTAATTGCTGTCTATCCATCCTTTCACATTTTACATAAAAATGGTATTTCCATGGGTCAAACTGGTTCAAGTTTTGATTCCGGAAAAGACAGAAATGAAGCTGCAGAAGTATGTGTCCTAGCCGAGGAGTATGCTACCTTACTGATACAAGGTTTACAGGACTGTTTTCAAAATTGGGATACCATAATTTTTATCAAAATCTTGAGCACATACATCCTGCTAGTTGCTCTCCAAAACTACTGAACTAAAACCACCACCATATAAATGCTGCGCCGAAAACCATCAAACAATGTGTTTTCCCATATCATATTTTATAGGATCCTCAGCTTTTCAATTCCTTTTGTAAAGGAAAACTCCTAGTAGCAACAAATACACTAGAGGAATCTGCACATCCTTATTATAATGAACCCCATCAGAGTTACTCAACCTTACAATGGGTTCCAGTTGCATCCCCAGCACTGCATGTAATAAAGCTCAGAGTGTGTGCTTAAAAGGGGAAAACATGGATGTAACTGAACAGGTAAGTAGCAGGAAAAAACGTTAGCATGTAAATAGCAGGGGTATTGCTATGACTAAAAGCAGGCAACTTTAATGAGTAAGCCAAATTCCTTGGTGCCAAGACTTAAATGGGCTCCTATGGGATTACCTAAGTACTAATCTTTGCTTGAGAATTCACTTTATATTTCCCCCTCCAATCAAGATAGTTCTGCTTAATTACTAATTCTTTCTTTTTTTAAGCACCAGTATTTTTCATTAAAGCATCAAAGCAGTATTTTATACATTAGCTCATTTTACTGTAAAAACATGTATGTACAACTGCAGAGGAGCCATTACACAAATGGCTCTAACACTAAAAAGTGGGTCTCATTTTAAAAGTACGTTGAGTTCCTAATTCCCTCTCAACCTGTGTTTTTGTAATGCCCGACTGCCTACTTCGGTCTTCTGACTCTTCCCCCACAGTAATCCCCAGCAGGAAGTGCTTCCTGCGAGCACAGCATCCTATAACAGCTGTTACACTCTGACTTCTAGGAGGTGGGTCAGTTTTAGACGCACTTAAGGACGCGGAGCCTGCGGAACGGATCCTCCGGTGGGGTGGTCCGCAGGGGCAGCCGCTTCGGGGCCTCGGCCCGCCGGGGCGTCTCGCCAGGCCGCCGCGGGCGCGGGCCTCCCTCCCGCGGCGCCCCCCGCGGCGCTCCCTCCCGGGCAGCCACGAGTCCGAGTCACCTGTTACGTAACGCCGGCCCGGCCGCCGCCCTCCCCAGCCCTCCCCGGCCGGCCGCCGCCCTCCCCGGCCCTCCCCGGCCGGCCGCCGCCCTCCCCGGCCCTCCCCGGCCGGCCGCCGCCCTCCCCGGCCCTCCCCGGCCGGCCGCCGCCCTCCCCCGCCCTCCCCCGCCCTCCCCGGCCGGCCGGCGCGGGCTGCGCTTCCCGGCGGCCCCCACCCCGGGCTCGCGGACGCGACCAAGGCCTCAGCTCCGCGCGGACTTTCTGTGGGGTGCCGCCCGCCTCAGGCCCGGCCGGCTGCAGGCCGCCGCCGCCCGGTCCGGCGAGGCCCGGCCCGCCGCCGCCGCCGCCCCAGGCCCGCGCGCCGGCCCGCGCGCCCGCCCGCCCGCGCGCCGCGTCCTCACCCGGCGGGCCGCCCGCGCCGCCGCCCGCAGCAGCCTCCCGGAGCTCCGCCGGCGCCGCCCGATCCCGCCGGCCACGGCTTCGCCGTCTCCCCACCCCCGCGCCCGCCGAAGCCCCGCCCCCGCCGCGGACGGGCCGCCGATTGGCCATCGGGCCGGGGAGGCGGGCCCTCCTTGGCTCGCGTGGCACTCCGTCCTGATTGGTGAGTAGAGGCAGGGGCGGGGAAAGGGGCGGAAGCGGCGCGGGGGCGGGCGGCCGGGCCTCGGGCGGCCGGGCCTCGGGCGGCCGGGCCTCGGGCGGCCGGGCCTCGGGCGGCCGGGCCTCGGGCGGCTCGGCGGGCTCGACCCGCGGCGGTGGGCTCCCGGCTCTTCCCCGCCCCTGACCAGGGCTCCCTCCCGTCCTCCTCCCGTCTCTCCTCGGCACAGGGAGGCCCGGCCCGATCGCCTGGGGCGCAGCGGCGGACTGGGGTGGGGTCCGTGTGTGAGGCCCGTGTGTGTGTAAGGCCCCTGTGTGTGTGTAAGGCCCGTGTGTGTGTGTGTGTAAGGCCCATGTGTGTGGGGGTTCCGTGTGTGTGGGGTCCGTGTGTGAGGTCCGTGTGTGGGGGGGGGTCCGTGTGTAAGGTCCGTGTGTGGGGGGGGTCCGTGTGTAAGGCCCCTGTGTGTGTGAGGCCCGTGTGTGTGCGGTCTGTGTGTGAGGCCCGTGTGTGTGTGTGTAAGGCCCATGTGTGAGGGGGTTCCGTGTGTGTGGGGTCCGTGTGTGAGGCCCGTGTGTGTGTGTGGGGTCCGTGTGTGAGGGGGTTCCGTGTGTGTGTGGTCCGTGTGTGTGGTCCGTGTGTGTGTGTGGGGTCCGTGTGTGTGGTCCGTGTGTGTGTGTGGGGTCCGTGTGTGAGGCCCGTGTGTGTGTGTGGGGTCCGTGTGTGTGGTCCGTGTGTGTGTGTGGGGTCCGTGTGTGAGGGGGTTCCGTGTGTGTGTGGTCCGTGTGTGAGGCCCGTGTGTGTGTGTGGGGTCCGTGTGTGTGGTCCGTGTGTGTGTGTGGGGTCCGTGTGTGAGGCCCGTGTGTGTGTGTGAGGCCCGTGTGTGTGTGTGGGGTCCGTGTGTGTGGTCCGTGTGTGTGTGTGTGAGGTCCGTGTGTGAGGCCCGTGTGTGTGGTCCGTGTGTGTGTGGGGTCCGTGTGTGTGGTCCGTGTGTGTGTGTGGGGTCCGTGTGTGAGGCCCGTGTGTGTGTGGGGGGTCCGTGTGTGTGGTCCGTGTGTGTGTGTGGGGTCCGTGTGTGAGGCCCGTGTGTGGGGGGTCCGTGTGTGGTCCGTGTGAGTGGTCTGTGTGTGTGTGTGTGAGGCCCGTGTGTGTGTGTAAGGCCCCTGTGTGTGTGTGTGTGAGGCCCCTGTGTGTGTGTGTGTGTGGCCCCTGTGTGTGTGTGAGGCCCGTGTGCGTGTGTGTGTGAGGCCCGTGTGTGTGTGTGGCCCGTGTGTGTGTGTGTGGCCCGTGTGTGTGTAAGGCCCATGTGGGGGGGGTTCCGTGTGTGTGTGGTCCGTGTGTGAGGCCCGTGTGTGTGTGTGGTCCGTGTGTAAGGTCCGTGTGTGGGGGGTCCGTGTGTAAGGCCCGTGTGTGTGGTCCGTGTGTGTGTGTGTGTGTGGCCCCTGTGTGTGTGAGGCCCGTGTGTGTGTGTGTAAGGCCCCTGTGTGTGTGAAGCCCGTGTGTGTGTGTGTGCGGTCTGTGTGTAAGGCCCGTGTGTGTGTGTGTAAGGCCCATGTGTGGGGGGTTCCGTGTGTGTGTGGTCCGTGTGTGAGGCCCGTGTGTGTGGGGGGGGTCCGTGTGTAAGGCCCGTGTGGGGGGTCCGTGTGTAAGGCCCGTGTGTGTGGTCTGTGTGTGAGGCCCGTGTGGGGGGGGGTCCGTGTGTAAGGCCCGTGGGGGGGTCCGTGTGTAAGGCCCGTGTGGGGGGGTCCGTGTGTGTGGGGTCCGTGTGTAAGGCCCGTGTGTGTGTGAGGTCCTTGTGTAAAGCCCGTGTGTGTGGGGGGTCCATGTGTAAGGCCCGTGTGTGTGTGAGGTCCTTGTGTAAAGCCCGTGTGTGGGGGGGGTCCGTGTGTAAGGCCCCTGTGTGTGTGAGGTCCTTGTGTAAGGTCCGTGTGTGTGTGTGAGGTCCTTGTGTAAGGCCCCTGTGTGTATGGGGTCCGTGAGGCCCGTGTGTGTGGGGTCCGTGTGTGAGGCCCGCGTGTGTGGGGTCCATGTGTGAGGCCCGTGTGTGTGAGGCCCGTGTGTGTGAGGCCCGTGTGTGTGTGAGGTCCTTGTGTAAAGCCCGTGTGTGTGGGGGTCCGTGTGGGGGGGGTCCATAAGGCCCGTGTGTGGGGGGGGGTCTGTGTGTGAGGCCCGTGTGTAAGGCCCGTGTGTGTGTGAGGTCCTTGTGTAAAGCCCGTGTGTGGGGGGGTCTGTGTGTGGGGGGGGTCCGTAAGGCCCGTGTGTGTGTGGGGGGGGGGTCCATGTGTGAGGCCTGTGTGTGTGGGGGGTCCGTGTGTGTGTGGGGTCCGTGTGGGGGGGGTCCGTGTGTGAGGCCCGTGTGTGTGGGGGGGGTCCGTAAGGCGTGTGTGTGTGGGGGGGTCCGTGTGTGAGGCCCGTGTGTGTGGGGGGTCCGTGTGTGTGTGGGGTCCGTGTGGGGGGGTCCGTGTGTGAGGCCTGTGTGTGTGTGGGGGGTCCGTAAGGCGTGTGTGTGGGGGGGGGTCCGTGTGTGAGGCCCGTGTGTGTGGGGGGTCCGTGTGTGTGTGGGGTCCGTGTGGGGGGGGTCCGTGTGTGAGGCCCGTGTGTGTGTGTGGGGTCCGTAAGGCGTGTGTGTGTGGGGGGGGGTCCGTGTGTGAGGCCCGTGTGTGTGTGTGGGGTCCGTGTGTGGGGGGGTCCGTGTGTGTGGGGTCCGTGTGTGAGGCCCGTGTGTGTGTGAGGCCCGTGTGTGTGGGGTCTGTGTGTAAGGCCCGTGTGTGTGTGGGGGGGTCCGTGTGTGAGGCCCGTGTGTGTGTGGGGGGGTCCGTGTGTGTGGGGGGTCCGTGTGTGTGAGGTCCGTGTGTGTGTCCATTTGGGGGGGTCCGTGTGTGTCCATGTGGGGGGGGTCTGTGTGTGTGTGAGGTCCGTGTGTGTGTCCATGTGGGGGGGGTCTGTGTGTGAGGTCCGTGTGTGGTCCATGTGTGTGTGGGTCCATGTGGGGGGGTCCGTGTGGGGGTCCGTGTGTGTGTGGGGTCAGTGTGTGTGAGGTCTGTGTGTGTGGGGGGTCCGTGTGTGAGGCCCGTGTGTGTGGGGTCCATGTGTGTCCATGTGGGGTCCATGTGTGTGAGATCAGAGTGTGTGTGGGGTCCGTGTGTGTGGGGTCCGTTTGTGTGTGTGTCCATGTGTGAGGTCCGTGTGTGTGGTCTGTGTGTGTGGGGTCCGTTTGTGTGTGTGGGGTCCGTGTGTGTGTGTGTGGTCCATGTGGGGTCCGTGTGTGTGTATGGGGGGTCCGTGTGTGTGTCCATGTAAGATCCGTGTGTGTGTGGGGTCCGTGTGTGTGTCCATGTGAGATCCGTGTGTGGGGGGGTCCATGTGCGTGGGGGTCTGTGTGTGAGATCCATGTGTGTGGGGGGGGTCCATGTGGGGTCCGTGTGTATGTGTGTGGGGGTCCATGTGTGTCCATGTGAGATCCGTGTGTGGGGGGTCCGTGTGTGTGGGGTCCATGTGCATGGGGTCTGTGTGTGAGATCCGTGTGTGTGGGGTCCGTGTGTGTGTGGGGGGGTCCATGTGTGTCCATGTGAGATCCGTGTGTGTGGGGTCCGTGTGTGTGGGGTCCGTGTGTGTGGGATCCGTGTGTGTGGGATCCGTGTGTGTGGGGTCCACGTGCATGGGGTCTGTGTGAGATCCGTGTGTGTGGGGTCCGTGTGTGTGTCCATGTGAGATCCGTGTGTGTGTGTGGGGTCCATGTGCATGAGATCCATGTGTGTGTGTGGGGTCTGTGTGTGGGGTCCGTGTGTGTGTGTGTGGGGTCCATGTGGGGTCTGTGTGTGTGTATGGGGGGTCCATGTGTGTCCATGTGAGATCCGTGTGTGTGAGATCCGTGTGTGTGTGGGGGGTCCATGTGCGTGGGGTCCGTGTGTGGGTCCATGTAGGGCCCGTGGGGGGTGGGCTGGCACCGTCCGGCAGTCCTCACCGGCACCCAGGGCCCCACCTGACGGACCAGAGGCGGGCAGCCGCACCCGTCCTGCCCAGGCCCCTGCAGCCCCGCGCAGGTACTGTGCCCATGGCTGCTTGAGACAAGCTGCCGTACATCCCGTCCCCCCCCCCCCACGCCCACCCGCCTCCAGCCGCGCCGACACGCCACCTCCGGGGCTCAACAAGGCACCATCACAGGCTTGAGCCACCACTCGATGAAGTTGGGGCCTGGGCGCTGTCCCTGCGCTCTTCAGCTCAAGGCCAGCGCTCTACCGCTTGAGCCACAGCACCACTTCCGGTTTTCTGGTGGTTTATTGGAGGTAAGTGTCTCATGGACTTTCGTGCCTGGGCTGGCTTTGAACCGTGATCCTCAGATCTCAGCCTCCTGAGTAGCTGGGATGACAGGCATGCCCCCCCCCCCCCCTCCGTGGCTGAATCTTTGGTCTTGAAGATGACTCTGAATACCTGTAAATCTGTTCAAGTCTCACCCTTGCTCTTTTTGGCCAGTCTTGGGCAGTCCCTCCACTTCTTTTGCTCAGGGCTGGCTCTCTACCATTTGGGCCACAGCACCACTTCCAGCTGTGTATGTGGTACTGGAGACTCGAACCCAGGGCTTCATGCCAGCACTCTACCACTGAGCCACATTCTTAGCTCCTCACCCTTGCCTTTGAACTGTAGCTCCAATGTGAGGTTCTGCAGTACAGGTACTGCAGAATAACTGTTGGGCTCCAGAGATCTCAAACACAGAGGAGCCAAACACTGATGGCTCATTCCTGGACTCCTAGCTACTTAAGAGGCTGAAATCCAAAGGATCACCAATTGAAGCCAGCACAAGCAGAAAAAGTCCCAGCAAAAAGCTAGACTGGAATCATGGTTCAAGGAGTAGAATGTCACCTAAACAAGCAAGCAAGAGGCCCTGAGTTCAAACCCCAGTACCAGGTTTTTTTTTTTTTTTAAAAAAAAAAAGAGGGTGGGGTGGGTGAAGCGGGTGCTGGTGGCCCAGGCCTGTCATCCTAGCTACTCAGGAGGCTGAGATCTGAGGATCACAGTTCAAAGCCAGCCTGGGCAGAAAAGTCCGTGAGACTCATCTCCAATTAACCACTAGAAAACTAGAAGTGGCGCTGTGGCTCAAGAGGTACAGCGCTCGCCTTGAGCTGAAGAGCACAGGGACAGCGCCCAGGCTGAGTTCAAGACCCACGACCCCAAAAAAAAAAAAAAAAAAAAGAAAGGGTGGAGTGGGGTGGGGGGCAGAAGAAAATGGCTCATTTAATATCTAAACAATAGTGCTTTATTGAAAAAGATTAGTTTAAATGGGTACAAACTTGCTGTGTAAAATAAGTGTTTTCAAAATACATGACTCTAGGCAGAGATGATCTCTTTAGTGAAGAGCAATCATGGAAACGTCAAAGGGTGAGGCCCAGGCCCTCCCATCCACACTGCCACCCTCCGGTGGCAGCAGGTCCTACACGGCGGCTTTATCACAACATACACCGACAGAAACATAATTAATTGTCTTTTTACAGCTTCCTTGAGCAAAGTTAACAAATGCCAAAATAACTCGAATAAGTGACTGCACGGGCATATTCTGAAGTCATACAGCATGTTTCTTGGAAGAAATTTCACAATACAAGCCTCTAACCATTCACGATGATCAACAAGGAAGAACCCTAGATTTTCTGTTGCATAACTCCGTAACTAACAATTTTTGAGTGTTGTTTTGTTGTTCTTGGCCCAAAGGAAAGCCTCCAAATCCCAAATTCCTGTCTCATCTTACGCATTTTCTTCAGCTCAACTCCTGTTGGAAAGGAATGAAGTGAAAATACTAAAACCACACTGCCATCTCCTTCACTCATTCCTTTTGTTTCCTGACCTTAGCAGACATGATGGAAAGGAACTTCTGAAGGACATGATGGAGGAAAGGCAAGTCCAGGAAGGGCCAGGCCACAGTGTCAGGAGACAGACTGGACCTGGCTTTCCTTACGGCTGCCTGTCCACCATCCTGCAGCAACAGGTCTGAATTATCTTTCATTCCTATATGACACACAGAAAAATTTGAACACATGGAGAATCATTGTTATTGCTTTTTTTTTTTTTTAAACAAAGTCAATAAACAAACAGAAAAACCAAATCAGAAAAACCAGGCAGGCATTTGGGATTCATGGGGCCTGGCCCTCAGGCAGTGACAGGTTCATGCCTTATGCTTCTGAGACAGATCTTTTACAATTGCAGTTACAGACTGTACATTAAAGTGCAGCATAAAATATTAAAAGACTGGTTCTAAAAATATATCATCTCCTATAACTTGGGAAATAATTTAGTTGAGTAAAAACAGTTCACGGACTGTGTGTGGAGTCTTACTGCAGTGTGAGGCCAGAGCTCTCAGCTGCTCTGCACAGCATAACCAGCATCAGAGGAGGGCACTATAGAAAGTGGTGTGATCTAGCATCAGAATACAGAGCTCTTAAAACTCACAACTAAAAGCCTGGTAAGCAAACACATGTCTCATTAGACACCTCAGTTCTACTTGGTAAACAGGTAAGTAAATGTGCAGAAAAAATAACAGTATTGAATTATAGCAGCAAAACTGGTCTTAGGTGTTGTGCACAATATAAAACCAAGGAAAATTTAGAGTCTCCACAGAGTAAGATTTAGTAAGAAGAAAATGGCCTGGCACCAAGACTACATATTCTTCTCTCTGTCAGAGTACATGCCTATCATGCAGGAACATTTTGGATTAAATCTCAGTCTTCTAGATATAAATTGAAAGTGGTCACCAATGATTAGCTAGGCCAGCTAACATAAAGAAATTCAGTATTAACTACACACAATGAGTGATTCTTAGAAATGAGTTATAGTAACACTGGTCATTAGTTAAGGCGGAAGAAAGTAAATATAGAGTGTAACAGCAATGAAATATAAATGTTAAAAGCACTTCATACAAAAATACATCAAAAGTTGGTTAAAAAGTCAGATGCAGGCACTTAAATTTGTAGAGGCACCCTGCCAAGGGACCCAGCGAAGACACAGCTGTGGCACTCATCTGGAATCGCTCATTTTATCCAAGAGTGTTTCTGGAATAACCAAACAAAACAATTTAAATGGAAGTCATGCAACATTTGTTTCTTTGTCAAAAGTACTATGTTCTGCGTAACAAAGGGCATGAGTTGAGCAAAAGGTTGGATTTCTGTGACTAGTTAACTAAATCAAATGCCATTTACGAGGCTCTTGGAAACTACAAGTACTATAAAACTGAACAGTATACAAAAATAAAAATTAACTATGTACCCCAAGTAATAATTTTCCAAATTCAATAAAGCTTCAAAAAGACAACAGCAAGAGCATGGAGCTGGTGGCATATACCTGTAATCCTAGCTACTCAGGAGGCTGAGATCTGAAGATTACAATTGAAAGACAGCCTGGATAGGAAGGTCCATGAGACACTGATCTCCAGTCCACCAAACAGCCAGAAATGGAGCTGCGGCTCAAGTGGTAGAGGGCTAGCCTTGAGCAAAAAAGCTCAGGGACAGTGCCCAGGCCCCAAGTTCAAGCCCCAGGACACGGGGACGGACGGATGGATACGCGCACGCGCGCACGCGCGCACGCGCACACACACACACACACACACACACACACGAGCAAGATCTGTGATGAGGGAGGTCTACCTTTCCCTCTTGTTCAAATGAACCTTGTTCAGGAGCTGCGTCTTTTTAAATCTGGTTAAGCACAACCCATTTCTGTAGCCTCCCCATCCATCACTAGAGATAAGACTGAAGGCAAAAAAAGCATTTTTGACGCTTGCAGCACCAGAAATGCGGACTAACCTCTCAGCTTCTGGTCTTCTCAGTTGCTAGGGAAGTACTAGGGTTTGAACTCAGGGCCTTAACATTTCCTAGCCAAGCAGTGTTATTACTTGAATCCTAACGGCAGCCTTTTTTGGGCTGTATTTTTGTCTAAGATCTGGCAGTTTAGCCAGAGGCTGGCCTCATACTGCAGTCCCCTGATCTTGGCCTCTTGAGTTGCTGGGATTACAGGCATGAGCTACTTACTGGGGCTCTCTCCCTTTGGGACTCAAAGATTCCCATGTGACTTTGAAATGAAATCAACATGGACCAGGTAGGGCTAAATGGACATTCCCTTTGGTTACTATTAAACAGTACATCAGAGTTTTTTTTTTTTTTTCCCTTGTCGGTCGTGGGGCTTGAACTCTGGACCTGGGCACTCTCCCTGAGCTCTTCAGCTCAAGGCGAGCACTCTACTGCTTGAGCTATGGTTTTCTAGTGGTTAATTGGAGATAAGAGTCTCATGGACTTTTCTGCCCGGGCTGGCTTTGAGCCGTGATCCTGAGATCTCAGCCTCCTCAGTAGCTAGGATTACAGAAGTGAGCCACCAGCGCCCGACTATACATCAGAGTTTTAAAAAGTCTTTTTACCTATACAGCTATATAACAAATACCTTCCTGAGTAAGCTGTACCAGGGCAAGGGTGCTATTTTGGTAAACATGATTAGTTCTGAGTTCCTGGTTCTTCAGGTTCCTTTCAAGCAGGTAGGCCAGGGCATACCAAGTCAGAAATCTATGTAATTCACTAATTACCACTTGTTGTAGCAGAGCTACCCAGAGGCCTGGAAGTCAGTGGTCTACACAGCAAGGTGATTCTGATATCACAAATCTAGAATGATTTATCTTTGTGGCATCTTGACTTCTGATTAATTAACACAAGCTGTTTTAAAAACCTCTCTTCATAGGTAATTTCAACATTAACAAATTTTCATCTGTATGGCTAATGAAAGTATTTAAATTTTTTCTTATAAATTTTTTCATCTTCTCATGGACATCTTGGATAAGTATGGAAGGGATTGGGCTCCTTAGCTCCTATATGTAAGCTAACAAAGAACAAATATCCAGGCTGGAAATGTGGCTTAGTGGTAGAATGCTTCCCTAGCATACATGAAGCCCTGGGTTCGATTCCTCAGTCCCACATACACAGAAAAAGTTTGAAGTGGTGCTGTGGCTCAAGTGATAGCGTGCTAGCCTTGAGCATAAAAAGAAGCTCAGGGACAGTGCCCAGGCCCTGAGTTTAAGCCCCAGGATTAAATATCTTTGCTAGACAGTAGGTGGCAGTGGAGAGTGGGCTTCTCATTTCTCTCTCTCATTTAAAGCTAGTGATGTGGCTAATGACAGAGCTTCTGGTCAAAAACAGGAGACATTAATAAAGCTTAAGGCAAAGGAGCCTGTCTGATTCTAGGCAAGCTGATCATGAGATTCCTAGAGCTAGCAGTCAGCTCCTTGGCTTACCAACACACAAGGATCGCCTCACACGTGATGCCCCAGGGCCCCGCTGTCACTGTCACCACCCTGCATCTGCATCTGCATCTGCGCCTGCATCCTGGCAATCATTTCCTGCATGCGGCGGAGCTGTGGACACAGTACACATGCAGTCAAACACAGCGTCAAGTCCATAGTTGTCTCTGAACATCACTTAGGAATGTTCTGTGTTTTCTCAAACAAATCAACATGTTAAAATGCAAAGTACTTTAAGAAACCAACAAAAATGACCAGTAGCTCATCAGAAACCATGTAAATGATATAAACAATTCAAATAAGACAAAAGAATTACCAATAAACAGAAGGAATAACTGAAGAAAAATAAAGACAATGAGACATTCTCTTTAGCCTAAAAGGCAATAAAGAGAAGGATGTCATCCAGTAGAGAATAGGAATGAGACAGATTTTCTGGAAGACAAATGAAATCAATGTTTGCCCACCATGATCCTCACCAGTTTTCATCACTATGGCACCCAAGTAAGGATTACAAAATGCTTACACAATTTTTCTTCAGGTAACTGAGGTTTTAATACTTAAACATTCCATTTAAGCTACATTTAGCTGATCAGGCTAAAGAAGGGAGTTTTTGTTTAAAAAAAAAAAGTGGGTCCACTGTGATCTTATTACCGGACTCCCTAGCAGGCATGAAAGCATGTCTGTTCTATTTCTAGATAGTGACTTGGGTGAGCCCTGTTCTCCAGTGAAGCAAAGTTCTTCTCATTTGTTTGTAAGACCTCCTTGTTTTCCCATGCTTATTTCTTAAAAAACAAAACAAAAACCCAATTACTTTATCAAGTGCTCACCTAGGAAAGCTCAATAAATACAACTGATGGGACATTGTAGTTGCATTAAATTTAGAGATTTAGAAGTCTGTGATCCTTTTATGGACTCTTGTCACATACAAGTATGCCTGATCTATCATCATCACTTTTTTGTTGGTCGTGAGGCTTGAACTCTGAGCCTGGGCGCTGTCCCTCAGCTCTTCAGCCCAAGGCTAGCACTCTACTACTTGAGCCTCAGCACTACTAATGGTTTTCTAGTGATTAATAATTAGAGATAAAGAGTCTCATAGACTTTTTTGCCTGGGCTGGTTTTGAACCGCAGTCCTCAGATCTCAGCCTCCTGATTATAGTTAGGATTACAGGTGTGAGCCACAGACATCCAGCTTATCATCAGATCTTTATATAGTGGAGTTTAATCATTTCTTTCCTATTGTAAGTCTACATATTTCTTCTCAAATTTTGATAATAAATGTAAGGGGTAGTTTCATTGTATTTTCCAGTTGGTTACTGTCTACTATGGGAGAAATGATCTTTGGACCTTTTATAAAAATCACGTTACTAAATTCAGTTTCGAAGTTTCCAAGCTAAATTGTTACTGGAGCTTAAGTGACAAAAACATGTACACATGCACACTATTACAGTATAGACACATACACAACTTTGAAAACATTAGAAAAAAATTAGGGGGGGAAAAACCCTGCAATAAGCTAATTACAAATAGTTTTAGAAACCAAATGGCTTTAGTCATAAAAACAGTACTTTTGTACTTACCTCAGCCTCCTTTTCCAGCAAGATCTGGTCCTTATTCATGTCCTCATTCTCCACTTTCCTGAAATTACAATTGCAATTGCAATGTGGTAAGTAATTTCTAACTATAGATAACCAAATAAAAATTTTCTTAAAATTCACAGAAACATCTATTTAAAATTACATATATTTTTGTCATGTTTCTAATTAAAGACATGATAAACAAGAGAACAGGATGAGGGGCTGAGAAGGTGGCTCACTGGTAGAGTGCATGCCTTGCAGGCATGAGGCCCTGGGTTTGATCCTCAGCATCACATAAGCAGAAAAAGATGGAAGGTGCGGTGACTCAAGTGGCAGAGTGCTCACCTTGAGCTGAAGAGCCGAGGGACAGCGCCCAGGCCCAGAGTTCAGGCCCCACGACTGGCAAAAGAGAGAGAGAGAGAGAGAGACAGACAGAGAAAGAGAGACAGACAGAAAAAGAGAGTGGGGGGGGGAGGATGAAGAAAAAGGACAAATATGGAAAGGTAAGTTGTTGTTTTACACTAGGATGAGTGTCTTTACTGAAAAACAGTGAGTCTGGCCTGAAGAGAGCTCTTGATCAGACTGAAGTGACTCTCAAACAGATAACTCGTCACATTTGACGGAGAGAGCCCAACACAAGAGGCTGGAGAAAGCTGCTGAAGCACACAGACAACACTGGCTCTTGGGGCATGAGGATTCATCGACCTTTTTACTTCTAAAACCTATCAGTTTACCATAAATATGATGAGCAAAACAAGTTAGAATTCAATGTGTACTTCTACTAAGCACACATATCTAGCAAGTTAGGGCCTTTGTAGGGCCTCACTTGGTTGGTTTGCTCCCAGCTGACACTCTATTACCTGAGCCAACACTCCAGTCATTAACTGGAGATAGTTTCTTATACTTTTGTGCTGGGGCTGATTTTGAATCACCACCTGGCAGGTCTCAGCCTCCTGAATAGCTAGGATTAAGGGCATGCCCCACCAGCACTCAGAATGATTTTTTTTTTTGCCGGTCGTGGGGCCTGAACTCTGTCTCTTGGCTCTTCAGCTCAAGGCTAGTGCTCTACCACTTGAGCCACTTTTAGCTTTTTTGCCTATGTGGTGCTGAGGAATCAAACCCAGGGCCTCATGCATGCAAGGCAAGCACTCTACCACTGAGCCACCTTCCCAGCTCCCTAAAATGAAATTTTAAAACTATATATAATGAACTTCAATAATGAATGCATATGCCACTATTCATTCACTAAGCTCTATTCTAAGCACAGATAGGATTTTATCAGGTAGAGACTGTATCACAGATCTCATATAAAAATATATTAGGATGGCAAAAAAAGAAAAAAAGAAAAGAAAAAAAGGTGAGGACAGCTTCAGGAGTCTGCAGAGAGCAGAGCTCCACTGGCATTTATCATGGGCACACCACCCTTTACTACAGTTTTTCAGTCTGTTCTCATGTACAGTGACTCTTGATTTTTTAATGTTTTCTTGGTGCTCCATCTGGTGCCTAACTCAGGGCCTGAGTGCTGTCCCTGAGCATTTGCTCAAGTCTAGCACTGTACATTCAAGCCACAGCTCTACTTCCAGCTTTTTTTGTAGTTAATTATAGTTCAGAGTCATAAAAATTCCTGCCCTGAACTGTAATCTTGACATCTTAGCCTCCTGAGTAGCTAGAAGTATAGGCAACACCACGGGCGCCTGGCCCAGAGTGACATTTTTGAAGCACTAAAACAAGCCTCTAGCCTTTTCACCTGAGCTGTTCTTTATATACAAATGATAAAACCCTTTTTTAAGGCAAGAAAAGAAAGGTTTGGTTAGGTTAATAGCAACGCTCTTATAAAAGCCCTTGAGTAGGGAGTGTATTTCCTTGGTGGGCAAGACCACTAAGCTGTGTATACGAAGGAGGGAGAAGGGAACCGTGTGACTACCTGCCACCTCTCTTGAGCCTCTCAGAACGGAAGTTTTCATAGTGAAGGTCCTGTGTCACTTCCTGGAGGTCTTGCATATGGGTGCTGAAAGAGAAGAAATTCACCAAAACGGCTGCATGAAGGCACCGTGTGCATAGGAAAAAAAATCTCAACTAGTTCAGAACACAGAAAACACCAATACCAAGAACCCCACTGAGTATCTTACATGAGCATTGTTCTCAGCTTCAGAAAGTCATTGTGCTCTGGGTTCTCGACCTCCACAACACCCCAAGGATAGAGGCGCCCTCTGACCTTCTTGCCTTTAGCTTCAATCAACTGGTTGGATCCAACTACAGAGAATGGGATACTGGCCTAGAAAGGAATACAAGTTAAAACAGGCTCCACACAGAAGCACCAATGCTCACCGTGAAAACAATGGTATCAACAAAGATTTAGGTCGTTGGTGTTTAGTACAAAGCTTAGTTGAGAGCTACAGACACCTACATTTCACTTGGAAGAATCAGATATTTTCTACATGAGAATAACTGGAAGTAGACCTGCAATGTTTTTAAGTCTTAAGTGAGAACTATCTGAATATATTTAAATCAAAACACTATTGTAATTGAACCTTCCCTGGCAATCTGAGCCCTCTAGGATGTAGGAACAGAGAACAGGAATTATTTAGAGCCAGTTCTTACCTTGAGCAGTCTAGTCTGCTCTTTAAAATCTTCATCTTCATCTGATTCTGCATCAGGTAAATGATAGATTTTAATGCTATGCTCTTCAATTTCATCCAAAATCTGAAAAATCCAGAATCAACTTTAGCAATATATCAGAATTACCCGAATACCAGTAAAGAGTCAAATTGATTATAGTTATTTTCAAATGATTTTATAAAATACAAAAATGCCTTTGTGCTTGAATTGAGAGCTTTTCTGACTGTAAGATGGGTATTAGCAATGATACCCCCACTTTCAACGTACAAGCAGTAAGACTAAGGATAAACAGAAGGACAAGTGTTAAGACTAGGCTACAGAGAAAACTAATGCATACGGAGTTCCTTAACAGCAGACAAGAATGTAAGTAGAGAAAGAAACTGTACCTTAGATGGGAAAAAGAAAAAAAAGAATTCTCTTGAAAGGCATGGATGAAAGAAGTGTGTCCTGGGACTACCAAGATATGCAGAAGGTGCAGTCGAAGACATCCAGGTTTTTGTTTTGTTTTTGAGATAGGGTCTTACTATGAAGTCCAGACTAGCTTCCAACTTGTGATCTTGCCTCTGTCCCCCTAGTTGCAGGGATTATAAGTACAAACCACCATGCCTCTACCCCAAGACTATCTTTAAGACATCTGGTTGGAAGTAAGAATACACACTGGTGTTACCTTGTAGAGAGTTATCTGGATCTAATAGCAAGTAACTAAACGTGAAACCATACAATTTAAAAAAATCTACCAACTAGACCGAGAGAAGAGGTGTAGAAAGAAAACAAAACAAAACAAAAAATGACCTGGAGCTGATCTAAGCAGCTATTCATTATGGCCCCCCTCAGTGGCCACAGCGAACAGTAGGTATCAGATGCACCAGCAGACTAGAAGCTGTTTGCTCTCACTGGAATCCACACCACCTCTCCACAGTGAGCAGGTTCAGTGCTCAAGGAACAGTCAGCCTCAAGGTTGTACCACCCTGGCTCCTGGTCATAAGGTCAGACCTTCTGTGTTTTGCAAAACCAAACACTGTGATCCCAACATGTATGTCCCAAAGGGCCTGCTTTCCATACCCTTTACTTTGCTTTAATTTTTTTTTTTTAAATTTTATTTAATTTTATTTGTGAACATATTGTACAGAGGAGTTACAGTTACATGGGCAGGATAATGCGTACATTTCTTACCAAGCATTGCAGCCTCCTCCTTTGTTTACCCTTCACATCCCTTCCCAGCCTCCCCCCTCCCCCCCAATCCCAATCCTTCTCCTCCCCCCCCCTCCATACCCTTTACTTTGAACCTAACTTTTTTTTTTTTAATAAATCTTTATTCCAGGATTGCAGGAACAGTCTCATCCCTGGGCCCAAGTATTTCCTAAGAAATGGTCTCATCCTTGAGCAGTGTAGTTCACATGAACTACATGTGAACTTGGAATATAAAAGCAGAAACCACAGAGATGAAAGGTATCAAAGCAGTATCCAAATCTCCAGGGGCCAGCAAGGCAAACAGGCAGTGAAATACACAGTGGGGAAAGCAAGAGGAGGGGGGAACTGCTAATCATGGCAAGCACAAGTAAGCACTAGTCTGAGGACAGAACTATGGGCCATGCCCGGATCACAGCAGCAGCAGGTGGATGGTAAATTTAGGCAGAATAAAAGGGATCATGAAAAGCAGCTAGTAAAAGCAGAGGCTTCTGAGTGCACGGCAGGGCCAGAAAAAAGCCTATAAAAGGTCCATAGGGAAGATCTAGCAAATGAGTGGTTTCAAAATTAAGTCATCTCAGACAGATATTGTAGCCTAAAGTTTTAGATGAAGGATATGACACCCTTTCTATACCTCAATGAGACTGAATGTAAGAATACAAAAAAGGTGATGTTTCCTTAAGCTGAACAGAGTAAATAAACCTTATCAAGTATTAAAATGTCTAAGATGGGGCTAGGAAGGTGGCTCAGTAGTAAACTGCTTGCCTTGCATGCATGAGGCCATGGGTTCGATTCCTCAGCACCACGTAAACAGAAAAAGCTGGAAGTGGGGCTGAGGCTCAAGTGGTAGAGCACTAGCCTTGAGCTGAAGAACTGAGGGACAGCGCCTAGACCCAGAGTTCAAGCCACATGACTGACAAAAAAAAAAAAAAAAAAAGTCTAAGCTTTATTCCAAGAACCTAATTATCTCCTAAAAAGAAAAAAATCAACAACGAACAAAAAACTTGGTAAGGCAATTCATATGACAAAGAAAATGGCTGACAAATACTATTAGATACAGCTTTGAAATTACCATAACAGGGGCTGGGAAGGTGGCTCAGTGGTAGAGCGCTTGCCTTGCAAGCATGAGGCCCTGGGTTCGATTCCTCAGCACCACATAAACAGAAAAAGCCGGAAGTGGTGCTGTGGCTCCAGTGGTAGAGCGCTAGCCTTGAGCTGAAGAGCTGAGGGACAGCGCCCAGGCCCAGAGTTCAGGCCTCATGGCCGGCAAAAAAAAAAAAAAAAAGCAATTACCATAACAAAAAATATACCAAGACACATGAAAATACAAAAGTGAAGTAAGGAAATATCTGCAACATGTCTTCAGAACTGAAAGATTTGCCTGCAATTAGAGCAATAAGGAAACATCAGTGGCATCACACGCTAGGACACTCACCTGGACTCAATAAAACGCAAATTAAAAGAAGATCTCATTTCTGAAATGGGCAAAACAAAGTTTGGTATCCTATTCAGGATAATTTGTATGACTAGAGAGCAAAAGATGCTCTGAGAAAGTAAATTATTTCTTACAAGCTTACTTGGGAAATTTAGCCATCTTTCAAAAGTTTAATTTCCTTCATAAGAATTCATTTGATTTATTACATTGAGAGAAAACATGTACCATTATATGACTTATTCAACAAAGGCCAGATGCAGTGTCACATTCTTATAATTACTCAAACCCAGCTGAGGCAAACTGTAAGACCTCCATCTATATCAGTAAAGCAGGTATAATGGAGAATGACTGACCTGCTATGTTGGTGGATGTGAGGGAGAGAACTATGGTTTGAGGCTGGCCCCTGGCAAAACAGGAGACTCTACCTAGAAAATAGCTAATTCAAAAAATGGGCAGAGTATCTAAAGTGATTAGAAGGCCTGCTGTATCAAGCATGAAGCTCTTAGTTTAATCTCTCATACTAGAGGAAAAAAAATAATTCAACCAACATTACTGAATTCCTACTCTTTGCTACATAATATTCTCAACTCCTAAACATATTTATTATGTTAGGGAGTGCCGCAAGAAGGGCACAGGAGAAGGGCTTGGGTCTAAGGCCATGCAATTACCATCAGATTCAGGTATCTTTGGGGAAGAATGTTCTAGGCAGACATGACTAGCAAAACTGTGCTAATGTAGGAATTTATCTGGTCTGATAGCAAAAAACAAAGTAACAGGAAATCTGGTCCAAAAGGGAACCAGAGCAAAACAAAACAATAAGCCAAATATCCATCAAGAGAAAACTAGAAATGTAAACGACCACATATTCATTCAATGGAATACTGTGTCCAATAAGAATCAAGGACGAGGGGCTGGGAAGGTGGCTCAGTGGTAGAGCGCTTGCCTTGCATGCCTGAGGCCCTGGGTTCAATTCCCCAGGACCACATAAGCAAAAAGAAAAAAGCCGGAAGTGGCGCTGTGGTTCAAGTGGTAGAGCGTTAGCCTTGAGCTGAAGAGCTGAGGGACAGCGCCCAGGCCCAGAGTTCAGGCCCCACGACCAGACCAAAAAAACAAACAAACAAACAAAGAAGCCTGCCAGGTACCAGTGGCTCATGCCTGTAATCCTAGCAACTCATCAGGAGGCTGAGATGTCTGCATCACAGAGCAAAGCCAGCTTAGGTAGGAAAGTCCTTAGACACTTATCTATAATTAACCAAAAAGTTGTAGAAGTAGAGCTGTGGCTCAAGTGGTAGGCCACTAGCCTTGAACAAAAAATGTCAGAAACAGCACCTGGGCCAGCACAAAAATAAAACAAAAATAGAAAAAAAGCTTTAGAGGATACACACAGGAATAGTGTAGTAAAATAAGGTACCATAGAGACAACTAGTCAGTGTCAAGTGTAGTGGGAGGTGAGGCAAATCCATCCTATGGGGGGGGGGGCGGGGGGGGGGGAGGTGGAGAGCTGGGTATGACACCGTCACAACCCAGATATAGGCAACTTTAAACTCTGACATGGATCGTTGAAGTAATAGAACTTCAAAGACAGGCCACAATTCCACGTTCATGTCATGTACCTATGACTTTTGGCATCTCTTTGCACTTAACCACCCCTATTCCTTAAGCCTAATTTGTCTAAGGAGAATTTTTAAAACAAATATTTTCATGCAAGCAAAAGGTAAAATATCTGTTAGGCATTCTTTGAATTCCGGTGTCAAAATTCGGGACAAATTCTGCAGCCCTGGGCTGGGAAGGTGGCTCAGTGGTAGAGCGCTTGCCTTGCATGCCTGAGGACCTGGGTTCGATTCCCCAGCACCACATAAGCAAAAAAGAAAAAAGCCGGAAGTGGCGCCGTGGCTCAAGTGGTAGAGCGCTAGCCTTGAGCTGAAGAGCTGAGGGACAGTGCCCAGGCCCAGGGTTCAGGCCCCACGACCAGACCCAAAAAAAAAGAAAAAAAAAAAAAAATTCTGCAGCCCTGCCTCCTTCATCCCCAAACAGCTTGGTCTAGCCCCTCACCCCCAACAGTTTGCTCTAGCTCCCACTCACCCTTTTCTTCAGCCGCTCCCGTTCCTTCAGAGTGAGAGTATCAGCTTTTGCGATGACAGGCACAATGTTCACCTTATTGTGTATCGCTTTCATAAATGCAACATCCAAGGGCTTCAGTCTAAAAGCAATTTTTAAATTGTCACATAAAGAACAAAGAAGCCATTCACTTTTTCCCTTAAATCATCTCAGTTCTTCTATTGCAACAGGCATTTTGTGGAAGCTTGTAAAACATACATAGAACATTAGGCCCCATGGTAAGTAACTGACTTACCCATGTCCAAAAGGCGAAATGAAGTAGAAGCAACAGTGCACCCTGTTATCAATGATATGTCGCCTGTTCAAGCCACTCTCATCATGCAGATAGCGCTCAAACTGCTCATCGATGTACGAGATAATTGTCTTAAAACTGAAACACAAATGTCAACAGTAACGATAGGGTACAAAGACTGGTAGTCCCTAATTTCAAAAGGAAAACACATTTTTCTCTCCTTTCCCACTGAACATATATAACTCCTCAATCTGATAAAATGGATGTTTTCTCAGAACTATGCCAAGTTAAAGAACTTTCCTCAAATGCTGGGAATGCAACTGTCAGGTGCAAGGGGTGCCGGCCTCCTGTCCAGAGGATGACACGCAGCAGGGGCACAGATCTAAGGAAGACAGGCAAGCTGCCAGACGGGACAGCACTTCAGTGACCTCGGGCAAGGAGCCTCCTGACACAGGAGAAAGGACCTTTCCAGAATCCAGTACTACAAAGCCAACGCTTATGCTTATAGGTCAGACCAGGAAGGAATCTGCACAGGACGAGTGAGAGGCAATAGGCAGCTCTACGTTCTACTTCTTAATTTCCCAATTTGTGAAAATTATGCCAATAGTCACTTTACTTCCTCCCATAGAAGGCACATACTACTGACCATCTTGTTCAATGCCAAGGGTTCAAACTGAAGTGTTTGTAGTATTTATAGTCTATGGATGGCTGACTTTGCAATCTTAGATCTCATTAGAGTGCTCTCAAAGACAAAATAGATACTCTCTATAGAAGCTCTTATTTCCAAAGGCTGGTATGCAGTTAGCCCAATCTGTGTAAGTCACTTACTAGCAGAAAGCAGCAATTGAAATATATTAGTATAAATGAGCATCAATATACACAGTCCCTGGTGCTGTGGCTGCGTACCAGTCCCTGCAGTTGATGGCATCCCCGTAGCCAGGGGTATCTACGACCGTGAGGCGCAGCTTGACTCCCCGCTCTTCAATTTCAACAGTTGAAGCCTCAATCTGGACAGTTCTTTCAATTTTCTCTAAGAAAGGAACAAAAGTTAACAGCAACTGTATCTTATAATTAAGCCTCATACAAAGAGAAGACATGATCTGTTACGGATGTTTCTACAAATACTTGACCTGGAAGGTTCTCAGGAACTAGCATGGATTGTTTAAAATCACCCCAGAGTTAGTAAAAGAAATGTCAATGGTAAAATTCATGTGCTGCTTGGGAAGTTCAAAACTGTAATATAAGCTGTGTACTGGTGGCACATACCTGTAATCCTAGCTACTCAGGAGGCTAAGGATTGCAGTTCAAAGCCAGCCAGAGCAGGAAAGTCCATGAGGCTCATCTCCAATTAACCACCAGAAAACAGGAAGTGGTGCTGTAGCTCAAGTGGTAGAGCACTAGCCTTGAGCTAAAGGGTTCAAGGATTGCTCTGAGGTCCAGAGTTGAAGCCCCCCCCCCCCCCCCCCGCCAAAAAAACCCAAATGAACAAAAAACTGTAATATAATGTCTCTGGTGTAAAAAAAACAAATTAGGAATTCATTTAGAAATTGAATTTAAAAACACTAGTGAAAAAGCAGTTCAAGACTTTCCAGTGTTTATGGATGCTGGTGTCCCCCCTGGGGGCAATCAGAACAAAGAGGAGTCAAAAATCTCTTTCTACAGTACTTGTCCACGCAGTCTTTCTAATGACATAAAATGTAGGAAGAAAATGACGATCGCTTGTAGATGGGTTTGTGTCAAGTGAGATCTGTAACCAGGAGGACCTCAGGTCCTGTGCTTTCCCCATGAAACTTAAAGAAATTTAAAGAAAACACAAAAACAAACAAGACACAGAGCTATGCCATATTATCAATTATATGCGCATCAGCATTTTTTGTTTACCTGCAGCTCCAGGTATAATTCTTTCTGGGTAGAGATCAGTCAGGAATAGACTGTTGATGAGAGTGGATTTTCCTAGACCGGATTCACCTAAATGAAAACAAAAGCCTTGTCATGACCTTCCCTGTGCCTGTCCAATCATGGAGTAATTACTTCAGGCTGGGGTCTGGGGTAAGTACCTCATAAAAACAGTATGCTGTATACTTTTTTCTTCAGTGGTACTGGAGTTTGAACTTGGGGCTCCTGCTTGCTCGCACTACAAGTTTACCTATAGCCCTTTTTGCTTCAATTAGATAGGGTCTTAGGCTGTGCCCAGGCTAGTCTCAGAACACTGAGATTATAGGCATATGCCACTCTGAAAGAGTATTTTTTTAAATTGTGGGTTGGCATCACACATCAATCCTATCTTTGCCTCTCCAGAAGCGGGTATCTGAGGTACATACCACCACATCTAGCTATCTTTATTTCTGGTATTTCAGTAAAGACTGCTTTGTTTTTCATGTAGCCACTTTAGCTTCTTAGGACTGGTTCCTGTACCTTCTGTTTTCACTTATCTATTTCCAGGTTTTCTCAATTGTATGATTACCAAAAACATAGACTGATGGCCCTGTACTTAAATTGTCACTGTGGTCATTTGCTGGTTTCCATAAAACATAACTATTGTAGGAGACTCTTCACAAATATGCTCTGAACACAAAAATGTAAACAGAAATGACCAACAATACAGTGCTCTTTCAGACATAATCCTCTTATAATTAACACTTGCTGGAAAGTGGATTTTGTCATTATTTATCATTACACCAAACTCCCAGAGGCCAACTACCACAGGCATAAGGACTTACAGTGAAGGCCATAAGACATTTCAAACAGTTTTCTATATTTTAACTATGAAGGTTAGTTACCACAGTCCAACTTGCTTTGAACAAGAATTATGCCCATTCAATCAGTCTCTTAACATCTTTCTGGACCCATTCATTTGCAGACAGGAGAAAACTGTAGTCAGATTCTTCAAATCATGTGGTTCATATGCTTCTCAGTTTTTAAGATAAGCAGAGTGACTCACAGCAGGGCCCTGAAGATGAGCAAGTTCCATAAAGAGGAAAACATGTCCTCGCTCATCTTCTCTATCATCTCCTCTGGGTCCAGCTTCGTGGCAAGACCCTCGATCTGCACCAACACTGCCTGTGCTCACCTCTCCTCTGTGGTGGCCACTCTGTACTGAGAACTTCTGTTCTTATTTTTATTGACATTTTTGTTTTCCTTATATACAAGGTCATTTTCCATTCTCATAAATTTTGAAATTTACTTGTAGTACTTACCTAGCTCCTTTACATACCGTTAAGAGTTTTCATTTAAATAACACTCTGTCATTTAATGTGTGTTTAGAGTAGCACGTTTGTGTCTTCCTGTCCTTTGTAAAATCCTAAGCAATATTATTATCCTTTTATTATATTATTATCCTTTTATTTTGAATAATTATCTTTAAAAAAACTAAATATGTTTCTGTATTTATACACTTGCCATTTCCATGCTTTCCACTGCTTAATGAAGGCCAAATTTCCATTTGAAACCTCTTTCTTCCAACCTAAAGAACTTCATGTGGTACAGAACCAACAACATCCTCTGGGCTCACTCTGCTTTATCTTCATAGAAAGAATCAGTGAAGAACAGAGTCTAGGCTGATGGCTGTTTCCAAGCTCCCTTGAAGAACAAACCATTCTTAATGCATCTCATTTTGGATCCTCCATAAGCAATGATTTCCTTTCTTGTTCTGGTTACTTTTCTGACTACTGATCTGTGCCTATCACCAGTCTGATTATGTGCCTTTGATATGCTTTTCTCTGCTGTATTCTGCTTAGCTTGTTTCATTACTGGCTTGGGCCAATTTGTTGTAATGCGCCTTGTAATGTTTTGAAAAAAAATTTTGGTATTAAAAAAATATTTGTCTTGGGGCTGGGAAGGTGGCTCAGTGGTAGAGTGCTTGCCTTGCATGCCTGAGGCCCTGGGTTCGATTCCTCAGCACCACATAAGCAAAAAGAAAAAAGCCGGGAGTGGCGCTGTGGCTCAAGTGGTAGAGCGCTAGCCTTGAGCTGAAGAGCTGAGGGGCAGCGCCCAGGCCCAGAGTTCAGGCCCCACGACCGGACCCCCCCCCCCCCAAAAAAAAATTTTGTCTTGTTGGACAACACTTGAAGACCTGTCCACTCATCATTTTCACATTTCTTTTCCTCCTCCTCGTGCCATTTTCTATATATAAAACTAGTTATCTGGGTGCTGGTGGCTCACACCTGTAATCTTAGTAGCTACTCAGGAGGCTGAGATCTGAGGACCGAGGTTCAAAGCCAGCACAGGCAGGAAAGTCTGTGAGACATTCTTATCTCCAATAAACCAAGAGAAAACTGGAAGTGGCGCTGTGGCTCAAGCGGTAGAGCGCTTGTCTTGAGCTGGACAGTGCAGGGACAGCACCCAGGCCCAGAGTTCAAGCCCCAAAACAGACCAAAAAAAAAAAAAAGATTGGTTAAAATATATCATAAGCTAATGAGGCTAAAATTTATTCTTCATTGAGCTTTTTCCTTTTTGTGCTTTAATTACTTCTATTTCCTTTATAGTATATAATCTGTTAAGACTATCTTGAATTTTTCATTTCAGAGGTTACTAATTTATCTCCTGAGGTTTCATCTGGTTCTTTTGATATCTGTAGTTAATTTCATTGTAGTCATGGTTTCAAATATAGAGCATACTTTCAGAGTTTTAAATGCTTTCATTTAAATCATAGTTTTTGTCTGTCACTTCTCCCATCTTTGACATTTTCTCGTGATTATGCAGAGTATTTCTTTTCTTCTTTGATATTCAATAGTATCTCTGTTGGCTGGATGCGGGATATTGTTAATGCTACACTGAGAATGCCTGGATACTGATAGTCTTTCCTTTTCTTTTGACACATAGTCCTAGCTCTTTTTTTTGGGGGGGGGGTGTCAGTCATGGGGCTTGAACTCTGGGCTTGGGTGCGCTGTCCCTCAGCTCTTCAGCTCAATGCAAGCACTACCATTTGAGCCACAGCGCCACTTCCTGTTTTCTGATGGTTAACTGGAGATAAGAATCTCACGGAGTTACATGCTCAGGCTGGCTCTGAACTGTGATCCTCAGAACTCAGCCTCCTGAGTAGCTAGGATGCACCTGGCTACTGCTAGCTCTTTTGAAAATGTTTCAAAACAAGAGAACAGTGTATTTCAAGACTAAGGCTGGCCTCAAATACACAATCCTCCTACCTTACCCTCCTCTGGCACTGAGACTTACAGAAGTATGCCACTGTACCTAGCCAATCTTTCTCTGATATGTAACTTTACAAATTATGTTAAGGAAAGCTTACAATAATCTATCTAGATTAGACCTACTCCCAAACAAGAATACTTTCACTCTCCTAAGTGCGCTGGGCGTTCAAAAGTTTTCTCTGGTTGTCTTCTGACCATACTCAAGCTATCCAGCTCTGTGTAATGTCCAGTTGAGTTCATGTTGACATTCACTTTTCTTCAATAAGGATTCCATAATTTCCTAAATTTGAAGTCCATTAATTATGAACCCTAAGAAATAATAATTTGTCTTTATCATTCATGCCCATCCTAAGCTTTACCAATGCCTACTTCATTATTTTCTGACAATTATGCCACTGCCAAGAATGAAATAAAATGCGACAATGTCAACAGAATAGTTCATCATTACCTTTTGTGTGGATATGCCGAAATTACACCCAGACTCACATCCACACACATGATGTAACAAAAATATTCCAAGGGACTATTCAATGGACTTTAGAGTTACTTGTTTAAAATATACCCATCATTATGATTTTAGAAGTTAATTTTTGTCTGTGTATGCCAGTCCTGGGGGCTTGAACTCAGGGGCTTAGGCACTATGTTTGGGTTGTTTTGCTCTAGGTTGGTGCTGTACAACTTGACTTACAGCCTTTTTTGGGTGGAGGTGTTAATTAGAGCTAAAGGTCTCAGGGACTTTCCTGCCCGGGCGTGGCTTTCAACTATGACTCTCAGGTCTCAGCTTCCTGAGTAGCTAGGATTACAGCTGTGAGCCACCAGCGACTGGTTAGGAGATAAACTTGAGCCACAGCGCCATTTCCGGCTTTTTTCTTTTTGCTTATGTGGTGCTGAGGAATCAAACCCAGGGTCTCATGCATGCAAGGCAAGCGCTCTACCACTGAGCCACCTTCCCAGCCCAGGGCTGCAGAATTTGTCCCGAATTTTTAAGTGACAATTCAATACAATTCTAAGCTCAAATAGGGACATTATCTGTTAATAGGTAACAATTACTGGACAACATAAACATCTCTCACAAATTTTGGGGGTGAGAAATACAAGAATGTCAAAAGGTAGTTCTAACTCAGGGTGGCAGTCACACTGGGGAAGCATGCCTAAGGCTGGAGGACATTTGGGAAGTGTGTTATACACATAGGAGCTAAGCAGGCCAAAGTTCTCTGCTTTACAGACTTCCTTATCAAGACCCTAGCAGCTGGCTTCCCTGAGTGATTCAACAGAAGACGTAAACCATACTATGTCTTAAATCCTGTCCTGGAAATCACACCATTTCCGCAATGTCTCACTCACGTTATTTAGACTATGTCAGTGTGCAAGGGGACTACCAGGTACGTGAACATGAAGAGGTCATTTGGAGACTAGCTGTCACAATGAAAAAGCCCTTTGTTACATGCAAAGGAGGACACCATAGAAATGGTATTTTACTATTGAGCAAAAGGTTTTAAAGACTACATATAGTTTTAAGTTCCCAAGATGATCTGGCCACACAAAGGCATTTTTCCCTCTCGTATTATGGGTCACACTACTATATTCCACAGGTTGGGAAAGAAGGGACACCTATTTAATAAAATGGAGGATATAAATTGGTTTCTTACCAACCACCATCAGTGTGAATTCAAAACCTTTTTTCACTGATTTTCGGTGAACTTGATTGGGAAGGTTTGCAAATCCAACATAGCCAGGAGTTTCTGGATTTATAAACTGAGCTGGTTGTTGCTAAAATAAGATAAAAGGGGGGGAGAAAGAGCTAAAAGGCACACTGATCACTTGAAGATACAATCAGATCTGTGACAAATTAAAAAAAATTGCACATCAATCAACATTTCCAAAAAGTTACTTCTACCAGAGAATTTACAATATTCACTTGATAGCATTAAAAAAAACAGGCATTCTAATGAAATTCCTTAGCTATGTACTGGCCTAAAACTCAACATTTTGTTACTCAATATTAGTTAACAGTTAACAACACACAAGTATAATTCATCTTAAAAATTTCAGATTTGGGTTTGAAATAAATGAAGAAATAATATTTAAAAAATTAAGGTTCCAAAGAAGAACCAAACCAACAGTAGTTTAATACAATAAACATGGCTAAATAACCTCCAAGGGTTATTTCCTGGAAAGCATCCAGGAAAAAGTCATCTCTCTTGCTGCATTTGTAGCTCTGACCCACAAAGAGTAAGACAATCAGGAGTGGCATGTTGAGATTCTAGCTTCAGAAACGAAGAACGGAAAGAACAGAATGAGATGATCATAGCTGCCCAGAGGGACACATCAGTACTTCATGATGGAAAGACCCGATAACAGTGGAAATACATGGAGATCTGATCACTCATTAGTAAAAGCAAAATTACTGAAAATGAGAAATTTTAAGTCAATCAACTGACTTAATATTTCTGGGTGGTAAAATAATGGCTAATATTTACTTATTTGTGTTCTATACTAGGAAAAAAAGTGATTTTTAAAAAAATTTGGATAGTATGGGGCTGGGAAGGTGGCTCAGTGGTAGAGTGCTTGCCTTGCATGCATGAGGTCCTGGGTTCGATTCCTCAGCACCACATAAACAGAAAAAAAAAAAAAAAGCTGGAAGTGGCACTGTGGTTCAAGTGGTAGAGCGCTAGCCTTGAGCTGAAGAGCTGAGGGACAGCACCCAGGCCCAGAGTTCAGGCCCCACGACCGGACCCAAAAAAAAAAAAAAAAAAAAAAAAATTCGGATAGTCTAAAAAAAAAAAAAAAATACTAAGAGAAGTAACCTTGCAGTTTTAACCACAATTTTGGATTTTTTTTCAGCCTAATGTCCTTCACAACTAATTTATTTCAGAGCTCTGGGCCAATTTACCAGGGCTTAGCTAAACCAATTTATTAAGTCTAATAGCCACATTATTAAGCCTAATAGCCACATCATATAAATTACTACAATTTTATATTATTTGGTCAACTGAACATGATCTAAAAAGGTGAAGTGATTTTAATGCATTTAGAAAAAGCCTGAAAGAAGCTGGGCGCTGGTGGCTCATACCTGTAATCCTAGCTACTCAGGAGGCTGAGATCTGAGGATTGCGGTTCAAAGCCAGCCAGGGCAACAAAGTCAATGAGACTCTATCTCCAATTAACCACCAGAAAACTGGAAGTGGTGCTGTGGCTCAAGCAATAGAGCACTAGCCTTGAGCTGAAGAGCTGAGGGATAGTGCTCAGGCCCAGAGTTCAAGTCCTGAGACTGACAATCAATCAATCAATCAGTTTCCGAATCAGTGGAAATAAAAAATTAAGTAAAAAAAGAATGACAAGTATTTTAGAACTCTATCATCTGAGCAAGCTCAGGCCTTTATGCATAGGTTATTTTTAATGGTTTCACGTTTTTGCCAGGTTGGTCTTAGAACCTCATTTTCCTACCTATACCTCTGGCATAGTTAAATTGCAAACATGTCTGACCACTCAGCTTGTTCTTTGAGATAAGGTCTCACTAACTTTTTAGCCCAGATTTGCCTTGAACCACAATCCTGTCTATCTGTCTCCTAATTATCTAGGATTATACTTACGAGCTATCACACCCAGCTACCTTATAAACTGTCTTAATGAATTAAATATATCACAAAAATCCTGATTGTAAATAGTCTGAAATAATAAAGCAATTGTCTTTATACTACAGATATATGATAAAGAATGATCTTACCTTAGACATTTTTCTTGATTGTTTTCCTCTATCTGTTACAACAAAACAAAACGCAGGGCATAAGGGGAGGCATAGAAATAGAGAGGCAAAGGGTGAAGAATTATAGTAATGGTACTTTGCACATAAATTACCATTTGCAAAAACTCATACTTCTACCAGAGAATAGACAATATTCAGAAATAGGAATTCTAATGAAATTTCTTAGCTATATATTGGCTAAAAAAAAAAAAATCAACATTTGTTACTTGATACTGTTTAGCAAGTTAACAATATGTAAGTATAATTCATCTTAGAATTTTATTTTATTTATTTAGGGTCCGGTCACGGGGCCTGAACTCTGGGTTTGGGCGCTATCCCTCAGCTCTTCAGCTCAAGGCTGGCGTTCTACCACTTGAGCCACAGCGCCACTTCTGGCTTTTTTCTTTTTGTTATGTGGTGCTGAGGAATCAAACCCAGGGCCTCAGGCATGCAAGGCAAGTGCTCTACCACTGAGCCACCTTCCCAGCCCCCTCATCTTAGAATTTTAAATTTAGGCTTGAAATAAAGGGAGAAACAGGATTTTAAAAAATTAAGGATTCAGCCGGGCACGGAGGTTCACTCCTGTAATCCTAGCTACTCAGGAGGCTGATATGTGAGTATCGTGGTTCAAAGCCAGCCTGGGCAGGAAAGTGAGACCCTTATCGCCAATTAGTCACCAGAAAACTGGAAGTGGTGCTGTGGCTCAAGTGGTAGAGCACTAGTCTTGAGCTGAAGAGCTGAGGGACAGCGCCCAGGCTCAGTGTTCAAGCCCCATGACTGAACACCCCTCCCCCCAAAAATATTAAGGTTCCAAAGTAGTAAACCAGACTATTTACAATCAGTAAAACTGGATACTATGTTGATAATGAGCTATAACTTGTGGAGGAGACGGGAGAGAAAAACTGGGTGAGAAAGACACGATGACATGGTTCACAAAGAAATGTTCTGTATTTTAAAATATAATTTTATTGTTATTAAGGTGTTGTACAGAGGGATTCCTATTTCCTAAGTCAGGTAATGAGTACATTTGTTTTTTGGACAATGTCACACCTTCCATCACTTTTTCTTTTTTTATAAAAAAATCTTACTCATTTTAGAGGTGATAAACGCCAGGATTTCATTTACACGAGTCAGGTAACAAGTTCGTTTCCTTTCATCCGGTGTCATCTGTTCCCTTATTCTCTCCGGTCCCTCCTTCCCATTTCCACTCATGAGTCGCCCAGTTCACCTTCATCAGTGTCCAGTACACTCCACTGCCGCACTTTTTCACCCATTTCCCTCAGATTCTGTACCCTCCTCCCACAGATATGCACATGAACACACCATGTATAAGATCAAGAATGTAGAATCATCAGAAAAAGAAAAACAAAATTAAGAAAAAAGTCTTTAGCGTTTCAGTATGTGTATCATTTTATATACATATAAAGTAGTTGGGTATTGCACCTTTCTGATTCTCTCCTAAGACTATGTTCTTTTCTTTTGGTCTCATTGTATGTGAGTACCTAGAATCCTGTGTAATTTGTCCTATCTCAGTGTGTTTTAGATCTAACTTTTACATATCAGGAAGAACATGTACCATATGTCTCTCTGATCTACAAGTGTATTCTTTACCTGACTTATGTAATTGTAACCCCTCTATCACCTTTATACTAGCAATAATAAACACACATGCACACATACACACTTAACCCCATGAACTGGCCTGTAAGGAAATCCACATATATCAGCAGCTTATTTCATTTTGCTTCAAGTGCCTCAAATACTTCCCCAGAAGAGATTAAATATACATTACTCATCATAAAAATATATTAAAATTACAAGTCAATGAAAGCGACATACAGACCATTTCCACATTTTCAAGTAGTGCCGATGTGCCACCCACTCTAGACCCCCCCCCCATAGACCTTGAAATTAGGTTTTGACACTAGGCACAGGGTGTGATGTGAACTACATTTGTAAGTAAAGTGGGAGACCAAGGCATCTAGGTATCTGTGAGTTGTGACAGTACTTTAGAGACAACTGGAGCTTTATACAAATTTTAGAACCCTGAAGCTCTTGGAAAGGAAGAAGACTTGGCTAACTTTCAGTAACAAACAAGCTCAAGGGATACAACCAAATCTGATTTCCTCTGGAACCACAGAAACTTAGTAGAAAGCTTCTTTTCATCTGCTACTTTGTCATCTTCCTGGTTTTTTCTAAACCTTAACATTTCTAACATATCATACCAAATTTACCTTTTGAATGGAAATGTTCCCAAGCATCTGGGAAGAAATACAATCCCCACATTGGCAATGTATTTGGCCTAGTTATCCAAGGTAAATTCATGAGCCTTAAACTCCACAGCATTACAACTCATGGAAGATCGAGTTTACCATGTTGGTTTTTCTTCTCAGTGGGGCTCACTGTAAGCCCTGCCCTGGAAATCTAGAAAACCAACATTATTAGCCATAAGAATTCCCAATGGGGGAAAAAAAAGACAAAGGAAAAGAATAAAGTAGCAAATATTTTTCTAAAAGTAAAGACCAAACTTGATACATTAACCAACTATCTGGGCTCATGTAATAGAGGAATGAATTAAGATCTACTGAATAGAAAGAACATCTAAGATAATTTTATCAATAAAATAGAGGGGAAAAAATAATGAACCATCTCAGCAAATTAGCTGGGGGCAGCAGTGATAACAGAGAAGTAAAACTTTCTACAGAAGTCATGGGTCAGATGGAACACAGAGTTCCAGGTGTGCAATCGGCTAGCACACAGTACTTACATAGATGGAATACAGACCATTATAGCAGAAGCTACCTCTTGATTTTACATACAAAGAGCTAAGAATCAGGCTGGGAAGGTGGCTCAGTGGTAGAGTGCTTGCCTAGCATGTATGAGGCCCTGGGTTCTATTTCTCAGCACCACGTAAGCAGAAAAAGCTGGAAGTGGCACTGTGGCTCTAGTGGTAGAGCTCTAACTTGGAGCTGAAGAGCTGAGGGACAGCGCCCAGGCCCAGAGTTCAAGCCCCATGACTGACCAGGAAAAAAAAAAAAAAGAGCTAAAAATCTTGTTGATTACGAAAGAAAAGGAAAACAAACATCTTAATAAATCGTGGAGCAAGCCAGGTCACCTGTAATCGTAGCTACTCAGGAGTCTGAGATCTGAGGAGCAGAGTTCAAAACCAGCTGGGGCAGGAAAGTTCGTGAGACTCTTATCTCCAATAAATCACTCAGAAAACCTGAAGTGGCACTGTGGCTCAAGTGGTAGAGTGCTCGCCTTGAGCTGAAGAGCTGAGGGGCAGCACCCAGGCCCTGAGTTCAAGCCCTACAACCAAGCAAATAATAATAATAACAACAATAGTAATAATGTAGTGCATTTCCATATTAAAGAGGAAAAATTCAAGCCAGATGCTGGTGGCTCACACCTGGAATCCCAGCTAGACAGGACGCTAAGATCGGAGGACTGTGATTAAAAGCCAGCCAAGACAACCAAGGGCAGAAGAGCCCCTGTGAAACTCTTATCTCTAATCACTCAAAACCCAAAAATGGAGCTGTGGCTCAAATGGCAGAGTACTAGCCTTGAAAAAATGATCTCAGGGACAGAATTGTAGGCCATGAGTTCAAGTCGCACAACTGATAAAAAAAAAAAAAACTAAATAAAAAGATTATGTAACAAACAGCAAACCAATCAAAGTAGGCAAAAATAAGAAAAAGAAACGAGAAAACAAAATCATCAACAATCCTAAATTAAGAAACAGGGCATGAAAACTCAAGAATATACATCTAATTCCTGCTGGAAAACATTAGAACCAATGCTACTTAAACTGATATAAACGAAGCAATGAAAAAGGACAAAAACTAGATGGAATTAGAACACAGTTCTATAGAACCCTAAACAGTTTAGAATAATTTTGCTCAACTACTTCAAGCCACTACAGAGAAAGGAAAGTGTGCTACTTTAAGAAAACAGTGAAGTTTCAGTGACTAATCCAGATGGAGGAGGAAGAGTGCAGATCTCACAGTAAGAAAAGCAGGGCAAGCAAACAGCATAAACCAACCTCATTTAGGAAAGTGTATGTGAAAATTGTAAATAATAGCAACCAGGTTTTAGAAATGCACCAAAAGTGTCTATGTGTCTGCTAGACAGCGTGCATGCAATCCTAGCGTCTCAGGATATCTGAGGATCACAATTTGAAGCTGGTCCAGGAAGGAAATTTCATCTGTGACACTCTTCCCTCTATTAACCACCAAAAAGTGGAAGTGGAGCTGTGGCTCAAGTGGAACAGTGCTAGCCTTGAGCAAAAAAGCTCAGGACCACAAGGCCCTGAACGGAAGCCTCAAGACAGGCACAAAAGTAGTATTAATGATAATACTTGAATGGGAGCTACAAGAAACAAATCATTAAAAATACTAAATCTTACAAGCATGAACCCGTTTTCATGACCACTTGCCATATTTTTCCTTATGAAGGCAAGACTGCTCTTTTTGTTGTTTTAGGAGCAATGCAGTTAGGATTCATGATTTCCAGCTAGATAACGTCCCCATTTCTTTTTTGCTTATTTTTTTTTTCCTCTTAAAGAGAAGGTCTGCAGTGATCCTACCCTCCACCCCCTCGGTCAGACACAATTTGTACTTTGAGAGATAAGGTCTAACTTTTGTTCTCTGTGACCTGGAAGAGAGGTCCTACCTCCTCTAGCTCCCAAGTATCTGGGATAACATGCATGATCCCATGAACCAATCCTTACAAGACTTTTTTTTTTTGCTGGTACTGGGGTTTGAACTCCGCGGTGTTGGCTGACACTGCAACACCTCAGCCACCTTATTGGTTGTTGGTTATTTGAAGATAACAGTCTTAACAGATCTGTCTCAATTCTCAGATCTTGCCCTCCGGAGTAGCTAGGATTTTTGGCGTGAGTCACGAACGTCCAGCTGAACCACCTTAGAATATTAAATGTATTTGAGTACCATGATTTGAGACCCCACCACACGCTGGCCCGGGTAAGGAAATGAGTGAGGGTGAGGGTGATCGTTATCACACAGAGCACCTCATCCAGCCCCAGTGAACCACGGGTGGACAGGCAAAGACCTGAACCAAAGGAGAAGCTGGGCAGTGGGAGGGTTTGGGGGAAAGCCAACCAGTTTGAACAAGTTCAAGTGCGGTCAGGACCGCCATGGTAGAAGCTACAGACCACAAAGAGGTAAAAGGGCCCGGACTGGCATGGGGGGGAGGCGGCGGCCCTGGGGTTGTCGGGGGCAGGGCCCCTGGTGTGATGGGGGGAAGGGGGAGGCGCCTGGCGTGTTGGGGAGGGGGGCCTGGGTAGTCGGGGGTTGGGGCGCCTGGGGCCTGGCGTGGTCTGGGGCCTGGTGTGGTCGGGGGTTGGGGGGCCGGGGATGGTCGGGGGGTTGGGGCGCCTGGGGCCTGGCGTGGTCGGGGGTTGGGGGGCCGGGGATGGTCGGGGGGTTGGGGCGCCTGGGGCCTGGCGTGGTCGGGGGTTGGGGCGCCTGGGGCCTGGCGTGGTCAGAAGGTGGGCACCTGGGGTGGTCGGGGGCCGGAGGCTCCGCGGGCCCGCGCGGGCCGACTCCCGGCGTCGCAGCGCTTTGTCTGGCCGCCCCCGCCCCGAGGAAGGCCGCGGCGGCCTTCGGCTAGAGGGCCGCCGAGCCTCCGGGACAAAACGGCACCGAGAGTGACCGGACGGCCCCACCGCGCGAGTGCGCCGCGGCCCGCCCCGCCCGGGGCCCGCGCCGGCGCGCGGCCGCCCGCCCCACCCGCGCCGGACGGCGCCCAGCCCGGGGCGCGGAGCACCCCGCACCTCCGCAGGAGCGTCGTGGGCACGCCGCGGCCGCGCACCCCCGGGGCACTCACCTCCACCCGCCTAGCCCGGACGACGAGCGACCGCGCCGAGGTCCGGTTCGGTTCGGTTCGGTTCCGCCCCGCCCCGCCCCGGCGCGCGCGCAGACCGCCGCGTCATCGCCCCGCCCCCTGCCAGCGCTTTCCGGGGCCCAGGTCCCGCCTCCCGCCCCTCCCGCGCGGCCGGCTCCCAGCGCGCAGGCGCGGCCGCGGCCGTCCTCCGCCTCTGAGCAGGCGCGCTGCCCCTCCCACGGCGGTTGGCCATATAGAGGCTGGGGGCGGGGGGGTCAAGCGTAGCCTCTTCTCCTTTACCAAGATGGCGGCCTGCCCCTGTTTCGCCACAGTTCCTACCTTATGAGCCTGGTTTCCTCACGCTAGTAAGAGTGGAACAGGTAACGAGATTCTTCGCCTGGTGGGCAGCTAGAGGTGGGGCAAGGGCGCTTTCTCAGAAGGCGAGGGGTCACGGCGGGCCGGAGGCAGCGGGGCGGGAGGTGGCGGTGTCCGTGCGGAGCGATGGCGGGAGGGGCCCTCGCCGCTGCCCTTTCCTCCGGGAAGATGGCGGCAGCACCGAGCCTGGAGCGCCGAGCCGGGTTGGTGCGCTGGCGAGCCGCCGGCGGGCTGCTCTAGCCGGCGTCGCGGCCGTCTCGGTGGCGCGTTCCGCCCCGGGATTGGCTGCCCGCGGGTCACGTGGGGGCGCGGCCCGCGCGGACCATAGAGTCGCGCCCGTCCCTGGGGACGCGGCCTCCGCGCGCCGGCTGGGCCGCGGGGGGCGGGGGAGCGGGGCCGGGGCCGGGCCTCCGCGGGCGGCTGCCCGGGGCGCCCCGCCGAGGAGGCTGCGCGTGCGCGCCCGGGCGGCCCCGCGGAGCCGGGGCCCGGCCCGACCGGCCGTTCCCCTCCGGTATTCGCGGGGGGCCGCTGCCCTTGCGTTCGGCGCCCCGAGGGGGTCTAGGTCCTTCGGAATGGGCCCGACGCCGGCGGGCGCGGGGCGCGGGTGACAGCGCTCTGGCCGGGCCCAGCACCGACCCTCAGCCTGCCGGACGCCGGCCCCGCGGACGCGGGACGCCGCCCGCCGTCCCCCGCTGAGGGGCGTTAGGCCGGACGCGCGGGGCGGTTAGCGGCCTCCCAGGCCTCACGGTAGCGTGGGCTTTGTTTTGGTGGGTCGTGGGGCTCGAACTCGGGGCTGGGCGCCGTCCCCGCGCTCCTGAGCTCAGGCGAGCGCGCTGGAGCCCAGCGCCACGTCCGGTTCCTGGTGGTGCATGGGAGAGCAGAGTCCCCCGGCCTGCCCTGCCCGGGCTGGCTTTGAACCGCGGTCCTCGCCACCGGCGCCCGGCCGGACGTCCGCCTTGACCTGTGCTCAGCACCGTGGCCGCCCGTCCCGTCCACCTTCGCCCGGACGACGTCACGGGGCGTCCGCGGCGCCTGGAGGAGGCCGCGGCCCCGACGCCGCCGCGCTGGCCGGCGCGCGCCTGGCTGGCCACAGCGCCCTCTGGTGGGCAGGCTGACTCGGAAGTGGCCTGATGGAAGAATTTCTGGAAACGTCTGCTACTTGCCTGACTCCAGCCATTTGGCCTAACTTAGCATTTCAACGACGAAGGAGGAGTGTACTGCGAAGGCCGGCGCCAGCGCTGTCTATGAGTCTGGGGGGATGCGGTGGTAGACTTTTCTCTTTCTCCAGCAGCTTGTCTGGTCTAGACGATGGACTTGTAAAGACAGCAGTTCAGACCTCCCCCTCCCCCTTCTGCTCAGGGCTTCACGCTACTAGGCAGGTGTCAGACCATCAGCCCTTCTTGCTTTAGTCATCTTTCAGAAAGGGCTTGTGTTTTTGCCAGACTGGCCTCCCCATACCTCCAGTGTAACTGGAATTACAGAGGCCCACACGCCACACCCAACTTACTTGTTGAGATAGATTCTTACTCTTATTTTTTCTGGCCTCAAACTGAAACTCGTTCCGTTTCTACCTTCCAAGTATCTAGGACAGCCAATGAGAGAAGTATCAGGTACCGAGTTCAAGCCCTGGTTCGAACCTAAAAAGAAAACAACGTAGTCGTTGGAGATGATTAGTGGTGTAAGCAGAATCGATTGTTCTACACAGGAAGAGCAGGAAAGGAGCAGCACCTCAGCAGCAGGTTGACAGTCCGTCGGAACTGGGAGGTGGTGCTGAGACACGATTTCAGTTGATTGTAACATTCTCACTAGGATGACATGATCTTTCTCATGTATCAGATAGGTTCTCCATTAGCGCTTACTAACTGAAAAGTGGAAGCCGAGAAAATGCCTTTTGGAGTACTTATTTTCCCTTGAATAGACATCCTTTTCATGGGCCATGTGGCCCAGGTGGTCATAGAAAGCTTCTCCCTTTTTGATTAAAAAATTTAAATTATTTAATCAGTAACCAAATAATTAAATTATTTTTATATGTATATCATTTTAAAACTACACGTTATTTGGGGTAGTGCGAAGTTTTGTTTTTTTAACTAATTTCTAAACTCAAGCATTTTAAGGGTTAAATCCCTTGCGGGCTGTTACATTACCAGGCATGTTGAAATTCCCTAAATGCCATTAAAAGAGAAGCCACACACACTGAGATATGTCTGTCTTTTTGTCCTTGTGTTAGTTATCTTGTTAGCTTACTTCACTGACTGTCTCTGACCACCCCACTTTGTAAGAATTACATTCATTCGTTGATTGCAATCCTGGGTTTTTGAATGCAGGGCCCTGAGCTTGCTAAACTGATACCCTATCACTTGACCCATGCTGCCTGCCTGGGTTTTTTGTTTGGCTTGTTTTTTGGTGCACCACTTCTGGGGTTGAATTTAGGGCCTGGGTGCTGTCCCTGAGATCCATTTTCTTAGTACTAGCTCTCTACTACTCGAGCCACAGGCTCCACTAAGGGCTTTTTTGATAGTTTAGTGGAGTCTCATGGACTTTACTGCCCAGACCGGCTTTGAACAACTATCCTCAGGTCTTACTCTCCTTACTCTCCTGAGTAGTTAGGAATACAAGCCTGAGCCATTGGTGCCTAGCTTTTTTTTTTTAGGTTTCAGGGTCTTAAGAACTCTGCTGTGTGTCTGAAAGGGATTAATTCTACCCTTTCATCATGCTTTCACAGTTTCTGAAGTTTCAGGATATACTGAATCTTTAATTTTCATATGTAAACTATGCTTTTCTTGGTGAACAATGTGTGAGATTCAGAATGCCTTGGGCAGAATTGTTTTGGGGGCTGTTCCATACAGTGTCTTTTTAGTCTTTAGAACCCTTCATTTGGAAACTCAAGTTTTTCTTGGTTAATTGCTTTGATTCTTCTCATTTTCTTGCTTTCTCTTCCTGGAATTCTACAGTTGGACTTTCTGGATTAGTGCTCTGGTTTTCTTGGTTGTTGTTGTTTGTTTGTTTGTTTGTTTTAATCTATCTTTTTTCAAGTCTTCAAAAAAATTAAGTTATCAGTTGACAAATTAAAGTTGATTATATTTATGGGGTACACAGTGATGTTATTGTTTATGGTGTGGAATTATAAAGTCAAACTGGCGAACATGTTAATCATATCAGATACCTTTTGTGTGTGTGTGGTGAAAACATTTAAAATTTGCTCTCATTTGATATTGGGGGCAAGGGGGCAGGCTAAGTGGAGGAGCAAAATGATGTCCAAACTCCCACTCGGGGAGAATAAAGCCTTTTCAGAACGTGGCCTTTCAACACCTTTATCTCATTGTTTGGCAGCCTGTAGAAGATGTGCTCCACTGAAAGGGGAGGCCAAAACCCAGGGAGAAGAGGACATTCTCCCTGGTACATTATTATATGCTCTTGGCCACACTGTATATCACCTCTGAAAGAAGGGGAAGAAAACTCTCATCCTTACATCTGTTGCAAGGTTGTATCCTTGACTTTCCATTCTTTTTTTTTGCCTGTCTTGGGGCCTGAACTCTGGATCTGGGTGTTGTCCCTCAGCTCTTCAGCTCAAGGCTAGCACTCTACCACTGGAGCCACAGCTCTACTTCTGGCTTTTTTTGTTTATGTGGTGCTGAGGAATTGAACCCAGGGCCTCATGCCTGCAAGGCATGCACTCTACCACTGAGCCACCTTCTCAGCCCTTTCCATTCTTTTTCTGAAGATAATCTCAAAGATTTGTAGCTCTGGTTTTCCTTTTTTTTTTCCTAAGCTTTCTCTCACACCTTGTATTCCTCTTTGTTTTAGGGATGCACCATCTCACATCTCAGTAGATATGCTCTTTAAGATTTTCTTTTCCCTCAAGTTACTGTTTGCTTCAGGCTGCTTTGTATGTGTTTGGAGCTTCAGTTTCAGGCCTTTTCTGGACTATCGTCATATTTTTTTGTGTCTGTTAGGATGTCAGAAATATGCCTGGCTGGACTGTCCATAGCACCACACCTACTTGGGTATCTGCAGGTTTTTCGAGCTACCTGTGTCAAGGGCCAGGAGAGAAAGATCTGGGATCTCAGCACTAATGAAGAGCTTACCTGCCCCATTTTGGAATGGTTTCGTACCTTCCACTGTGACTGGTGTCCCTAGCTCAAAGATTGATTCTATTTCTCTTTCCAGAGAAAACAGTGACCGCCTTTGGACAGACCAGCTGCCCAGCTGTGCAAAGTTCAGTATGATCCTAGAGGTCTTTCTGCTTCTTAACATGGTGCCTGTGCGTGCGCATGCGCCTGTACAAGAGCTTGAACTTAGGGCCTGGGTACTGTCTCTTAGTTTTTCACTCAAGGCTAACTAGTGCTTGAGTCAAAGCTCCACTTCCAGAAATCTTTTGTGTGTGGGGGGCAGTACTGAGATTTGACTCAAGGCTTTATGCTTGCTAGGCCTTTGCTCTGCCTATGAGGCTTGCCCCAGCCCTCATCTTAACATCCTTAATTTTGTTTCCAACCCATCTTAACATCCTTAATTTTGTTCCCTACATCTAGTCAGGTTATATTGGCCTTTCCCACTGCTGGTGACAGAATTAAAGTGTCTCTTGTAGATGAAATCTTTTGTCTTAGATTTTTGGTTGCTGATTTTGTGTTCTATATCTTTTTATTAGTTATCATTCGATTGTAAAAGAGGTTACGTTTTGACCAGCCCATTTATGCATATACTGCATCTTGATCAGAGTCACTTCTCAATCATGTTCCCTCCACCCACTCCTCTGAGCTTCCTTCTTTATTCTATTTCACATAGGTAAGTAAGTGTTTGACCATATCTCTACCTCCAGACAGGACATGTTTCAACTTCCTAATACTCATTTTTGTTGAAGTGTAAATTGTTCAAAGGGGTTTCACTATGGTCCGTCACCCGTGCATGTAATGATAAACATACAAGTGTATAGTCATACTTACGTATATTTACATATATAAGTATGAAGGCATGATAGTCTCCATATCTATCTACTTCCCTATAAATGACATCATTTTTTTTCTTTTTTTTTTTATAAAGGTTATTTCTTTTTTGGGGGGGGGGTCCAGTCGTGGGGCCTGAACTCTGGGCCTGGGCGCTGTCCCTCAGCTCCTCAGCTCAAGGCTAGCACTCTACCACTTGAGCCACAGCGCCA